TGGATACAATTTGAGTTGTAATAAATAACCATTAATAACCTGAGTTTCTAGAAAATTAACATTCTTCAGAAGTTGTAAATTTCTGAAATACTTAAAATTTACATAAAAATTTTCAGCATGTTAAGGTGCAAAATAAACTAAAGTTATTTCAGATAGAATCTGAAGATATAAGATTCTTATTGTTCCTATATAAATATCTTTATTTTATAGAGTTTACGCTAATATTTTATTCTAGTTAAACTACACTCTCAATCAAAGTAAGAATTTAAACTTTACCATAATCGAAAACAAAGAAAAGAAGTATTAGAAAGGGTACAAATGCATATTTTTCAGTTGTTTGCAGTTTGTTTTTAATGAGTTACATACTTTAGAATGATCATATAGTCTAAAGCAAAAAATAAATGATTATTTTTTAGTTATTCTTTCCTCTTGAACTTCTGAAATCCATCTGTCAAATGTTTCTGTACTTCTACAATAATCAATGTTTTCTGAAATACAAGATACCTATTATATCACAAGTGATGATAATTATAACTAAGAAACAAATGAAGACAATTATATTTTTGACAATAAGTTAAAATATATATTTTTGATAGTGAGAATAAATTTATCTATTCAGCTTTTATACAAGAAGAGCTAAAAGAAATTTATACAATGAATTATGAAAGATCCCAATTATTTTGACACTGTTACAGATAATGTAGATCTATCTGACATTGAAATATATCCACAATTTCAGTAGTCAATAGTTAGGATTTCTTTAAGATAGATAATATTGACATTTTGAAAAATTTTTTTTTTCAACATAATTCCTTACCTAAAAAAAGTCCTAAAGTTCAGTAAGTATTATTTTTTACATAATATTTTTTTGCAAAAGATTTCGTATATGAAATTTGTAAATATCATCTTTTTCTATTGAAGTCCACAGTATTGAGGTATTCTTGACTTGATTAGACAATATAAAGCTAATAAAGAGAAAGTTTATCTTAAAATAGAATAAGCTCTTAAATAATTTTAAACTAGATATAACGATTGAATCACTTTATTATTAATAAAAGTTATAAAATTTCTTAATAAATTATAAAAATTTTAATAATTAAAGTTATTCTTCATAATAAATTTTATAATATTTTATTATAATTAATATTATTAAAAATAATTTTAATAAGTTTATTAAAGATTAAAAATAAAAGTTTTTAAAAATTACAAGTTTTTAGCTTATAAGTAATTTTAAATTTTTATTATATAATTAAAAAAATAAAAAATTATTATCAATATGATACAATATATATTTATAAAATTAATTTAAATAATATTTTAAAAAAATTTCAATTTTTTATAAAAGTAAATTAAAAGAAAATTTATAATAAATAAGTAGAAAAATTTACTTATAATTTAAAAGATAACTATTGTAATAGAAAAATACTGCAAATATTTTAAATAAATTTTTATAGTTTTTATAGAAAAGGATATACTTTGATACTAATTAATTTTAATGATATTAAAATTAATTACGTTAATTTAACGTTTATTATAAATTATTAATAAATAAATAATTAAGTTTGTCAAAATATAATTTAATTAATAATTCATTAATTTGTATTGAAATATAGAAAAAGATTAAAATATAAATAATTTATCCTTATTAATACTTGATATTTAATAGTAGTATTAAGCTAAATAGAAATCTATTGTAAATAAAAATTTAAAGCTAAAATTAGTATAAAAACTATTTCTATTTTCTTTTTAGTTAATTAATTTTGATGTAATATTTTTGTTATTAAAAAAATCCAAAACATTCAGATAACTTAATTAAAAAATTAAATAATTATATATGTTAATATTATGATAAGAGGTTTAGTACTCTTAATCAATTATCTTTTTAATATTTCAGTAATTCTTATCTATTTTACATATAAATAAATATACAAATAATTAAATTAGTTTATAAGTAATTAAGTTAGTTAAAAAGTAATTAATTTAATAAAAAATATTATATCTATTTAACTAATATTAATTTAATTTTTTACTTTAATAACAAGATAAAGTTACACACTTATATTTGAAAAATTTATCTTTGATAATAAGTTATTTTTTATTTTTATATTAGTTAGTAAATTAGATGAATCATATATATTAAACTCAAATGCATCTATTATAGAATCAAAATTAAATAATATCTTAAAGATATTTAAATTTTTACAATTAATATAAAATTAGATAAATTGTTAATCCATTTTTAATAAAATCTATTTTTATATTATATAATTATTAATAGAAAAATTCTAATATAAGATCAGCTTTGATTTTTTAATAATTTAAATTATTTAAATTATTTAAAAATTTATCACTATCAAATACTAATTTATATTTTCTTTTATATTAAAAAATAAATCTAAAAATTTAATAAAATCTAATAAGTTTTTTATTTTTAAATATTTATAATATTAATTGTATTTTTTCTAAACTTATTGGTTAGCTTTATTAAAAGATTTATATTAAAAGATATATTAATTAATATTTTGATTATATAATAAATATAATTTTCTTTAATTACTTTATAATAATTTTTTTAACATCTATATCATCTGAAAAAAACAAATTTTATGCTTATGTAAATTATTCTTTTAGTATTATTTTTTATAATTAAATATTTATTATGTTATAAAAATTTAATAATTATATAAATATAAAATTTATTTTTTGATATATATATATATATCATTAGTTTAACTTATTAGACTAAATTATATATATATTTATTTTAGAATTTTTCTAAGAATTTTATAATATTTTTTAATATTAAAACTCTTAATAATAAATAATATAATCTTTTTATAAATTAAAATAAAAAACTAAGTTTTTAATTATAAAAAAATATTTTTTATTTATATTTTCTACAAATTATGTATTATAAAATTTAGTTTATTCTTTTCTATTATAATATTTTCTATAATTAAAAATAAATCATTTAAATAATCATAGATATTATAAGAAATATAACTTGATATTTAAAAAAACTTTTACATAGTAAAATTCTTTTTTAAGTATTTTTAATTTGTAAGTCACTTGTAATTTTTTAAAAGTAAGTATTAATTTATAATCTATCTATAAAAGTTATTAATATTAATATTTAAATTTATTATAAGTTAAGAAAGATTAAAAACCTCTTATATCTTAAAATTATTATTTAAAAATAGTTATAAGAAATATCTTTTCTAATGCTATAAATTCTAAATTAATATATTTTGATTACAGTCAACTCTTGTTATAACGAACTCTATGTCCTAGACCTCAACTTCGCTATAAGGCTATAGTGAAGATTTTAAAAGATTTGATTGGCCAATTCGCTGTAACAAGAGTATTTTTATTATATTTGTTTAAAAAATTCATTATATTAAGAGTTCGTTATATTAAGAGTTGACTGTAATATTATCTTAAATTTTATAAAAATAATCATTAAAATCACCTTATTCTGATAATTATTGATCATTAATATTTAATTATTAAAATAATAAATAAATTAAATAATATTTTAATTATTATATTTCTATAAATATCAAATATATTAATTAATGTAAATAAATATAATTTATATAAATAAAATGAATTTAATAAATCAAAATCATTAATTTTAATCTTTAGATATTAAATAATATACTTTAAACTGTTACTAAAAATTTTTTTATAAGTAAATTTAATATTAAATATAATTTTATTAATAAGAAAAGTAATTTTAGAATATTTTTTTTGATTTTATATAGAATAATTGTTAAAGTATTTTATATATAAATAAAAGTTAATAAAAATTAAAATTAAAAATTTTTTTAAGATTATATAATTATGTTAAAATTAATTATTAAAGTTCTATTTTAAACAATTATTCTATATAAAAGTCAAAAATAGCATTTTAAAATTGTAGAGCTAATAATGTTTCATATAATATAAAATTTTAAGATTATAAATAAAAATATAATTAATTAATCTTTTATTTTTATTATTTATTATTTTTTAAAAAAATTTGAAAAATTAATTACAATTAAATTATTATTTTTTAGTAAAAAAGATTTTTAATATTAATTAAAATTAATTTATAATAAGTATATTTAAATAATAAATCGAATTTATTTATTAATTTTAAATATAAATACTTTGCAAATAAAAAAAAAATTTATATTAATTTAAAAAAATTTTGATTTGATATTTTCTATTTCTATTATAAAGCATTTATATATTAAAATTTATATTTTAAGTAATTAAAAAATAAAAAATATTAATTTAAGATTAAAATTTTAAATTTTTGTAATAAAATATTTACTATATTAATAAGATTAAAGTTAATATTTAAAATTTATTTAAAAAATAATAAGAATAGATTTTTATAATTTATTTTATTACTAACACTAAAGATTATTTAAATAAATTGAATCTAATTTTGTTACGATATTTACAAATGTCTCTCAAATTAAGATTTATGTTTATAAAAATTTAATTTATACTTAGTTTCTGTTATAATATTTATTATGAAAAGAAATTTATATTATCAATTTTACCTGTTTTAAAGAATTGTAAACTAATATATAAAGCTACAAGGTAAAATTAGACTAACCTTATTAAAATCCTGCTAATGTAATTTTGCCAAAGAATAAATACGTTTAAGAACTCTTTATTACTACTGAAAGGTTAGTGAGAAAAAAATGAAAAAAAAATATCTAAAAACCTTTTTATAATTACGCTTATTTATGATCAATTAACATCACAATATATTAAAACCTTTTTATAAACACTTTTTTTTTTTGAAAAAATTACTATGAAATCAAAAGTGGTGATTATAGAAAGTCTGACAGTAAAGTAATTACAATTTTCAAAGACCCCAAAATTTTCGTAAACCAATCTACATAGTAAACTAAAATTCCAAGCAAATTTTCTCGGCTTAAAATAAGAATAATAAATATTTATTAAATAAAATTTAACTTTATAATTAAAAAAATTTTTTTTTGTTACATTCGAAGAGGACTTTTACATCTAATTAATCTTAACAAGGTTGTCTCTACAGCATAAATATTAAAATTATGTTCTGATTTGTTTTGCCACATTTTTTCTATTAGATACCCCCAACTTTTATATTCTTCTGATATCTTGGGTAAATTTTCTTTATAAGTTAATAAGTGATCATAAAGTTTATCAATTGAAATATCCTTAAATGGCAGATTTCCCGCTTTACACCAAGCGATTTCCCAAAATAATAATCCTAAACTATATATATCAGATGATGGAAGGATTGATTCAAAGTCATCGTTTAGTAGTCTATCTGGGTCATACCATCGTTTCCAAATCATTTCATCATGTGGAATCGTTAATTTTGGATACGCTAAAGTCTTTTTACTTGAATGTATGTTTTTGCTCCAAAGAAAATTAGATACTTTTGGTATTAGCAACTTTTCCGTTTCGTCATATTGCAGTAATATATTTGCACTTCGAAGATCCAAATGTAAAATTCCTTGCTGTAGAAGATAAATGATTGTTTTAAATTAGCATTTTTATTATAAACAAGAAAAAAAGAAAGATAAAAACATTAAGAGTTCTTACTTTATGCAAAGATTTTACTCCATGCGTTATATTCAATGCTAATTTAATTTTATCTTCCCAATTGTTTAGCAGGTTCGTCTGATTATCTTGAACTTGAAAATATGAGAAAAGGTCACCAAAATTTGCATATTCATAAAATAAAGTGGGTTTGCAATTATGAATTGAATATCCGCAAAATTTAATGATATAATCGTGATGGTTTAACTTATGATCGTTGTAAAGACAAATCTCTTTTTCGATACAAGACAAATTTTCGTCGTTATCGAGATATTTTAAAGATCTTCCTGTGACAATCCAATTATCTAAAAGTCGTCTCGTTGAATTAAAAAGTACTCCTTTGACTATCGTTTCTGATGGAGATTCTAAATTTTCGATACAAGTTCGATCAACTGTATGATACCATTGATTTAAAGCTCTTTCATTAATTATATTAAAATCACAATGATCTAAGTTTAGTTTCTGTTCCTTAACAAAACTATCTAATTCAACTTGGATCATGATTTTATTATGGTTGTCATATTGTGATGCTTCCAAACAAGCTATTAATTTGTCCAAAAGATGGTTGAATGATTTTCCGGCTTTTAAGATGCTACACAATCGAAAGTAAAAGTGAAAGAAAAAAAAAATTAAGTAAAAAATTTTTTAAGCATTCTATTAAATATGAATTATGAATACTAACTATCTAATATCCATTGTGTCATTAAGCAAATATCTCATCTTCTTTCTAACAGACTGAACTAGAAAGTATAAGATATATTAGTAAATCGCGTTGCGTTCGAATTTTCGAGAAAACAAGAAAATAACTTACCAACACAATAACGTACAATTGACCTTAAAAAATGGATATATAAATGTACTTGATTTTTTATGATATTTATAAATTGAGCTTTCTGAGCACTTTCACACCAAATTGGACATGTATCTTTAAACCTATTCATATGTCCACACATTTTATGCGCAATTGCCTTAACTTCATCATTTTTAAAGTGTCTTCTTCCGGATGCAACAGTATTCGCTATCACATCACAAAGTATTTGGTACGCATGTTCTAATGCAAAGAACGGATCTAATGGATCGGTTAAATTTTTAGTATAATATTTACTATAATCTCCTTCCGGGGGTACGAATATACTTTCAGTTGGAGAATTCTCGGATGGAGAAAATATCATTGATGTAGATGGTGAAATTAGAAAAGATGGACGTTGATTTCTACTCGGAGATATTGGTGGGGATTTTGGAGTTGTAATTAAATTCGGTACATTTGGTCGAATTCGTTTTTGTCGAAATGAATCGGAATTCGGGAGGGAAGAAACCTGTTCAACCTGTTCAATAGGACAATATCCATTTCTATGTTCTTTACATAACCATAAAATCTCTTGAGTTTCATTATCAACGCATTGCATCAATCCACCGAAATGATCCGCACTTTCTTGCGTATCTAGAAATTCTATCAAACATCAAATAAATTTATTAATTTGTTTAAAAATAAATAGTAAAAATTGTTAATAATTTACATACTTTTTAGCATATGAAGACCTGAAGCATTTATCATTTGATGAGGAATGTTAACTTCTTCCTTGCTCAAAGGAATAAAATCAGGATTTTCATCGGTCATAGTTTTTACACTTATGTCGACTGTATCAATAACTTCTTGAAAATATTTCATAATATCAGAATTCTCAGTTATGCTAAAAACTGATGATAGAATGTCAGTAACAACTTGTGGAAAGGCATTTAATGACATAATTCCTATAGCACTTGATAATGTTTTTAGACTAGTCGAAATATTAAAAATATTTGATGTTAATATATATATTTTAATTCAGTAACATATAAAAATATTTAAATCCATACGGTAATTACCAAAGATTTATCCAGGGTCCATACTTTTTAATAAATTGAGGAACTTCTATAACTTTGTAACCTTCTTGATCTGGAATGTGCCATTGTTCCTTGTATTCGCAAACAAATAAAAGACGAAATGGTTTTGAAAACAACCACGTTCTAAGATAAATAATATCACGTTATCAGTAAATTGAAAATCGATGGAAATATGGGAATTCATATTACATACGTTGGTTTTTTCCAATCTTTTCGATCAGGAACCATAACAAATATTCTAGGAACCTTTTCATTTTTCAATTTGACCAACTTTATTAAAATAAAGGGATAAAGTAAATTAATTTATTAAACAATGATTTTATGTATTTTTTATGAACTTGAAAAATCACTTACCCATTGTGGAATTTTCTTGGTTAACTCCGACAAATCCTCTACGGCCTTCGTACAATTATCAATTTTATCATTCAATATCTTTAGGCTTTGTTTCATTTCGTTATGATATTTTTCAAGAAAAGCTTGAAATGTATCCTAAAAGAAGATTTTCGCAACAAAATTAATATGTAAAAATTTTGAACTTTTTAAGGTTAATTGGCTACCTACCTGTGCTAATTTTGCTTGAAACTCTGCTTCACTTATTCCGGATTGGACCTCAAAACCAGCCTGAGAGATATCATATTCAATATATTTATTATCATTAATCTTCGTTGGTTCTAATCGGAGAAGTTAAATTAATATCAAATTTGATTTTCAAAGATAAATGTATTTTATTAATGTCGATTTACCTTCTAAAAAGCGTTCTCCTAAACATGTATAACGAATCGGGACGCTATAACGCTTTTCATTATTTGAAGTCATGGCATTATTGATTTCTATTTTCAAATCGCATTATTAGTATGTAACGCTAACTAAATTTTATTCATCATCATTTTGATCATTTTGTTTACCTGATTCGCCAGAGTAGTATGACATTCTCTAGAATAAAAGTGATTTTTTTTTTTTTTTTTTTAAATATCAATGATTAAATAATTAAAATTAAATCTTTTTGATTTGTGATTACCATGAATTCCTCTAACGTCATTCTTCGAGAAATATTTTTATCGAGCAATTTTCTTATAGCGTAACTAGCCGAATTATCACGAATATCACCAAGTGGCAAGTATTTTGCTGAAATCATTTCATTTTTTTCATCATCATGCTCTCGATTCCAATAATGATGTCCTGGTTAAGCAAAAAAAAAAAAAAATTACTACGCCATTCAACAAACTTCGATAACAAAGCTTCTATAAAAAAAAATTACCCGTTTCAAGATAGTATAAAACTAGCCCAAAAGAGAACATATCCATTGCAAAATTAGCTTCAATTTCAATTCCTTTATCGTATGCTTTTATAACTTCAGGAGCAGAATAATTTGTTATGAAGGTTACATAATTCGAACTACCAACAAAACATGCATCGTCAAAATCAATCAATTTCCATCTTTCGCCGTCCTTCTCTTGAAAGTACATGATATTTTGTGGTGACATTTCATTATGTACTATTAAAGACCAAAGGGATTTCGTTAGGTTAATTTGCTGCGGCACAATGGTAGTATCGTTTTAATAATTACCTATATTATGTTTGTTAAGTTCCGAAAGACCCGATACAATATCCTAATAATGTAAAAAGAATTGCGTAAATTTATCATATAATACCACGGAACTCGATAGATTAAACAATTTACCTTTATTATTCCACACTTTTCTTCATGTCTCTGGTTATAATCTTGATGACTCAAAAACGTTTCCAAGTCATATAGACCACATTCGCAAACAACAATTAATCGTGATGGACAAAATGTTATCATTTGCATAATATTCTACATTTGGACAGAAAAATTTATTTAAAATGAAAAGGTTTCATGCATATGCAAGCGAATATATACAAACCTCTGCGTTTATTAATTTATTCAACATCTTTGACTCTCTTTCGAATACATCTTTCTCTTTGTAATATTTTATCACATAATGGACCTTTGGTTTATTCGTCTCATATGCTTTACACACATTAAAGTTTCTACCATAACTACAACTTCTTATAATTGTATATTGCTCTATTTAAATAAAAACTTATGAGAAAGTTAATTCGCTTTCACGTGATTATCATTTATTTGTTAAATATTGAATAGGTACCTCCACCTTCAAGCGTTAGGTTGTTAAATTCTGACATTGAATTATATGACATTTTATATTTCATTTCCTTTATTTTTTTTATAAAAAAAAAAATAAAAAAAAAGAAATTTATGGGAAAAAATAAAATTCCGTTTTATCTTTTATGTATCAAAATTTAGGTGACGCAGAGTTATTTATTGAATAATCAATTATAAAAGACTTAATATTTTTCTTCTGAATAAGAAGCTTGCTTTAAAATTTAAGGCAATGAGGTTTCACATTATAAAAAAAAATTTACTATTTTAAATTTCCTTTTCAAACACAATTGCTAAATCAACGGACTTCAATCATTATTGTGATAAAGTGATATAAAAAGAGAAAATATGTCCCACATAAATTCCCAGATAATCTTATTACACCTTAGTCTAAATAATTTGTAGATTTCATGGGTCTTGAGGTGTTTCGAATTTCTTTATTTTCTTCCAAATTAGACAATTTTGAAAGACAAAACTTATGTGCTAGCTTAAATAGTAGTATTCATAAAGTTACGATTGGGTACACAAATTTAAATCAATTGATTACCTAATTCAATTCAAAAAAAAAACCACAATTTTGAGTCTTCAAACCAACCGATCACCAGAACATTTAAAAAAAAAAAAACTCCCCATAATTTTAGATTTTGAGTGAAAGATTTCTTTTAAGATGCTAATAAAAACTATAGAAAGTAAATATTAATTAAAGGAAATATTATATCGAGATTTATTTAAGAATCCTTAATTTTGTATAATGAAATAAATCACGCACAATTTGGATACAAAATTTTATCTACAGATTTTTTTTTAAACTTCTTTTTGCTCAAAAAAAAAAACACCTTTTGGAAAAACGTATTAAAGACATGACTCCTTAGTTTGTTAATATATATGTAATAATAACTTTTAAAGTTGATTTAAATTCCATATTTTTTAATAAATTCCTTGTGTTCGCAAACAAAAACAGTAACGTCCTAGAATAAAATAAATATGGTGTATTGAAAATAGTTAAATTTGAGATTTACGATGACTTTTCAAACTTTTTTTCCTGAACTATAACAAATATTGTAACCTTTTATTTTCTTGATCAAGTTTTTTTGGAGAAAATATGTAAATTTAATAAACAATAATTTGCGAATGTTTTATGAATTAGAAAAGGTCAATTACCTATTGTGGAAGT